CGATTTTTATGCCGTTTCGGGATGCTATGACTGCAGTTTCGGGATGCTATGACTGCCATTTTGGGATGCTATGACTGCCATTTTGGGATGCTATGACTGCCATTTCGGGATGCTATGACTGCCATTTTGGGATGCTATGACTGCCGTTTAGTATGCTGGTCTGCCATGAACACTCCCAGTATTTTTGTATCGGGTCCATGGGTTTTTAGATGATCTGCTTGGACACGCTGAGGTGCCTTGCCACATCATACTGCGATGTCCGTCCTTGTGAACGGCCGATGGCGTTGTGTCGTTGAGCTTCTGTCAGTCTTTTCATTCTCTTGTCGCCTATAGTGGCTTAAAGTAATGCATGTGGAGTACCATTGATTTCTCTTTTTAAAGCCTACAGTCATAGGCTTCAGCTCAGGGTGATACACAATTTCATGATGCTCGTGCATTTCATGTAGGGTGCATTTTAGGGATTTACTTCAGACGTGAGTGTAACGTTACGTTTTTGTTAAACGGTTCTTTTTTCAAACGTTTTGTCGTCGGCAACCATTCTCCAACAAGTTGGTATTCAGCATGGATTGGTTTGTGTCAAATATTTTCCTAAAATTCAAATTTGTCCAATGTCTGAAGAGTATATAAAACTTTCAAAAAGAAAATAAGGTACATCCTTGAACATATTTTAAATGAGGAAATTTCACTGGTGTTTCAGACCCGAGAAGGTCCGGGTTAGAATATTGATCTTCAGTAACCCATGCTTGTCGTAAGAGGCGACTAACGAGATCGGGTGGTCAGGCTCGCTGACTTGGTTGACACATGTCATCGGTTCCCAATTGCGCAGATCGATGTTCATGCTGTTGATCACTGGATTGTCTGGTCCAGACTCGATTATTTACAGACCGCGGCCATATAGCTGGAATATTGCTGAGTGTGGCGTAAAACTAAACTCTCTCACTCACTGGTGTTAATGTCATTCAAAGACTGTAAGTGTAAATGACCTATAATTTACACATAATATGAACTCACTGGATGGTGATTTTACAAACTTGAGATTGATAATGATTTTTTTAAATACAGCACTTTTAGTCTATCAACGCATCATCGTCAGTTTCTGTGAGGGCGGTGGGTATCTAGTGGTTAAAGCGCTCACTCCCCATGGTGAAGACCCAGGTTCGATTCCCCTACATGGGTACAATGTGGGAAGCCAATTTCTGTTGTCCCCCGCTGTGATATTGCTGGAATATTGCTAAAAGCGGCATAAAACTAAACACACTCACTCATTTTCTGTGAACCAGCAGTTTCTTGTTTTAGATGCCAAGGCTGTGTAATATCTCCTGTTCTTTTCACCCTCTACACTAATGATTGTGCAAGCTCGAATTCAACCTGTTCAACTGTAAAGTTCGCAGATGATGCAGCAATTGTCGGCAAACTGAACGACACTGATTCTGAAGAACTGTATAAAGAGGACATTAATCATTTTACGACTTGGTGTGCAGAAAACCACTTACTCTTAAATGTCACAAAAACAAAGGAACTGATAATTGACTTTCGGAGTAAACCCACAGAACTGCTTCCAGTGATAATCAACGGTGAATGTGTTGAGACGTGTCGGGGTATAAGTATCTGGGAACCTTCATTGACTCTAAGCTGAACTGGAACTCTAACACTGAAGCCCTATACAAAAAGTGTCAACAACGTCTTCATCTCATGCGTAAACTGAGATCTTTTAATGTTAACCCATATGTGATGTCATCTTTTTATGTAGCATTTATTCAGAGTATTTTAACATTTTCCTTCCATTGTTGGTACGGGTCTCTCAGTTCATCTCAAATCTAAAATAGACAAAATTGTTAACACTGCAAGTAAAATCGCTGGAGTCAGATTTGAATGTTTATCATCAATATATGAGCGGCAAATCGTGAATCAAGCTGTCAAATTCATATCTGACAGTACTCACTACTTAAATTCGGAATACAACCTTCTCCCTTCAGGCCGCCGATACAAAGTTCCAATTGTGAAAACTAAGAGAGCCCGTACATCCTTTATTCCTAGTACCATATCTCTCTTAAACAAATGTGAAGATGCCTAAATCAAAGAATTTATGTAAATATGTTTGGTATTTGTCTAATGTGTCAGTAGCTCTGCTGATGTAACACAAATTCCTGAAAAGGCATTAAAGTATTATTCTATTCTATTCTATTCTATTGACCTGTCCTTCACTGAGAGGATTATACTAGCGCTTCAAGAGCGATACTTTCAAGGTGATACTGAAAATGAATATTTCTCGCAGCGATATCAAGAAAAGGTTTGTAGAACCATAGGGGCGTGTCTCGCTTAGAAACAGCGTTAGAAAGACATATAGGTGTATAGACCATACACTATGACTATATAAAAGGATACGGTAATAGGGTAGGGTCTATGTTTACCTATATGTCTTTTTAACGCTGTTTATAAGCGAGACACGCCTTTTTGTGTAGAACTGCATTAAACATGTAAACAGTGGATGAAGCAAAGTCAGTGTGTGTTTAATATTTCTGATATATTGATATAAAATGTGATATCATTTGGAGAGCTTCAAACCCCAAAAGAGATAAAAAAAACCTTGAGATGCTGGGGCCCTAGGGCCGCAGCCCGGTGGGGTCAGGGGCGGAAGCTGGTGTATGGTTTATGGGGCGAAGTCACCTTGATGCCAATGCATAATTCCACATTCTCATCTCAATAAGGTCACTGAAAACAATATATTCAGACCTATTTGTGTGAGTGAGTTTAATTTTTTGCCGCTTTTAGCAATATTCCAGCAACATCACCGCGGAACCAGATATGGGCTTCACACATTGTACCTATGTGAAGACCCGGCTCTGTGGCGTGACGAGCTAATGCATTAGCCACGAGTCTACCCCACCTCCCCATCACGCCGAGTCCCGAGTTCGAACCGAGGTCTTTGGCGTGGCGAGCGAATGTTTTAACCATCAGGCTACCCCAAAGACCCCTTATTTGTTTTGATTTTAAGTGGTCAAAATTCTATTTTTCATATAAACGCAGTTTGGCGTGAGAGCGTGACATGAGTAATAACGCGTGAGTGTCAAGCGAAAAGCAGGAATACATTTGTTGTCCCCAAAGGCCACGCTCAGCAATAGCACAACAACATGCTGCGGCAGTCTGTTAACTGAACCTGAAGCAGACGACTAAAAGTACGTTATCTCATGAGCGACGTCTTACGATGGCACACACTAAACGAGTCGCCCAGTTTGTCCACCAACAGTTTAGTCAGTTTTCAGGTGAACTGTTCAATATCCAGATTAGAATTGGTCTTCAGCAACCCATACTTGCCGTAAGATGCGGCTTACGCGATCGGGTGGTCAGGCTCGCTGACTTGGTTGACACATGACAACTAGTTGTCTGCCAATTGCGTAGATCGATGCTCATGCTGTTGATCAATGGATTGCCTGGCCCAGACTCGATTATTTACAGACCAACATCACATCGCAGGAAAATTGCTCAGTGGCCCTCGACGAGTGAAAGGTGACGTAAAGTATCGACAAAGATGCAACCTTATAATTGATTTTATGTGTGGTTATTCTGTCATGTAGAAAAACGAAATGTTTGTCAATGAAAGACCTCATAATCGTTAAAAACACATATTACACGTCGTGTGTTTTGAGTGAATTGGGTCTAACGCAGGTTTGAACAGTCATCCACTGCGGGTCGGATTGATGCGGGAACTATAAACATGAAGCGATGAACTTTTCCGATCCACAAAGCGTTCGTAACGTTACGACCTGTCGTAACGTTACGACCTGTTGTAACTCCATGGCTATCACAGGCTTACGAATGTCTCTGATATTTACCACTTTTATGAAAACACCCAGAACGGATTTGGCGCCAACACCATAGAAACGTAACTGGGGCAAACAGAGATTAAGACCCTCAGTCATAGGATTCTGGCATACCCAAGGGACTCAACTCTGTACAGTGAATTATGGAGACACATATGAGTTGGCCAATGCTTCCTATGTAAGTGTACAAATCATGGAATACGACGTTAGGTGAAAAGCCCCCGAGATTTTCAGACCCACAGTCTTCTTGGTCATTGACGTGGGTACTGTTGTGTTCACTACATATAATTTGTGGTTTTGGTCTGACTCAAACTTAATCTCTCTCTCTCCCTCTCAGTCTTTAAATCTCTTTACGTGTTTGTTATTTATATTTGATCTGTAATATGAGAAACCATAAGAAAGACTGCAAGTTACCACGTTCATGTGCTGAAATAGAACCTCTCAATATACCCCAGTTACTAGTATTATATCTCCCTCAGTAACACCAGAGCTCAGATTTGACATTTTTGTGTGTACGCATGTAAGATCAAATTTATTGAGTATTTACAAATTTTCAAGCGTACTTGTACGCAACAGATATACTAGGGAATTGAGTTTTCACATAAATATTTGCGTAATTTACGCAGATACGCAGCTTATCTGTACCTCTGGTCTTAAGTCGATGGAAAGCTTAAATTTGCTAAATTTGAGCTATAACATTTCAGGAAGGGTGGAGCAGAAAGGAACACACTATGATTTACTGTCTTTCAGACAGATATGGTGTTGTGTTGTGTCATGTTGTGAAGTAACAACAGCCTCTGAATAGTGAAGTTCAAGTCCATGGTGTAATAATAGGGAGTTTACATTTGTGAACTGTTTCTAATACTGACATGGATGGGCGGCGGGTGGGTTCGCTCGTCACGCCAAATAGCCCCCACATGGGTACCATAGTGGTTTCCCCGAAGCGTTCGGCTCTTTTTCACACGTCAGTGGTTAGAGCGCCACCCGGAGAGCGGAAGGTCGCGGGTTCGTTCGATTCCCCATCGGGTACCATGTCGTCGAAACCCATTTCTGGTGTTCCCCGCCTTGATAAATTGCTGGAATATTGTTAAAAAGCCCACTCACTGGCATGCTTATTTCACACGCCAATGAAAGCGGAGGGTAAATATACGATGAAAATTGGGGACAAATGCACTGCGGTCCACCTTGTGCAGGTGTATGTACTTGATATCTCATGGGCACGACCCGCGACCTCTCCCGCTTACTTTCTTCGCGATCGTGACAAAGCGGTCAAAATATATTGTCGTTTTGTCGTCTCTCAGCCCGGGGTTTTGTTTGAATGGGAAACTCGCAGGTCAGCTCAGAGCAGAGTAAGTGAACAGCGTTCAACAATGACAAGTGATTGCGTAATTCACAAAATTGGCGCCGACGCCGCGGAGTGTGCGTCTGTATTGAGAGTCGCACGGAAATTATTTCATTCTGCTTGGCTGAGGTTGAACTGACGAGGGTGAAGACCAGCCAAACTGATGCCCTTGTGAGGTAAACTCTACCCATCGGCATTTGTCGAATCAGAATTTATAATTCTCTGTCACATCGTGAAGGATATACTGACAGGGGATCTTGTTCACACAGATTCGTACGCTTCAGTGCTTCAGACTAAAATCCAAGATGGCGACGGGTTTTCTCATCGGTGTGACCGGCCTGGCTGTTGTGTTAGTGGTTTGGCCGTGTGCCTGTCAGACAGGGGACAAATGTCCCTCCCTACAATCGCTGCCGACACAATGTTCCAAGATGACGTATAATGTTTCGTCGTTCCCGAACGCCCTTGGTCAGGTAAATGCCGGAGAAGCGTCCATGGCTCTTAATCAGTTTTATCCATTGGTAAAGATACAGTGTTCAGACGTGTTGGATGTGTTTCTGTGTTCAGTGTACTTCCCAAAGTGCGACTCCGAGATCGGCAATATTCCCCCGTGTCGGGAAACATGTGACTCGGCTCGTCTCGGATGTGAAACAGTAATGAATAAGTTCGGATTTACATGGCCGAGTGGTTTAAATTGCAATAACTTCCCAAGTTTAACCAGCAACATCAAATGCATGAATTTCGAGTCAAACATGACAACGACAACGACTTCGACAACAACAACTAAAATGACTACAACGACAATGGCACCGAAGGCAAACCTTCCCGACTTCTGTCGGAACCTACCATACAGCAAACCGTCACTTCCAAATATTCTCGGACATCAGACATTCGGCGAGGCTCGGAGAAACATCGACAGATTCACAGCTATGATGGCGAGCGGATGTTCCGATGGACTGACACGCTACATGTGCTTGCTGCACTATCCCACCAAAGATCCTTCGACACAGAAGCCAATTCCACCGTGTTGGGAGTTCTGTCTGGCGGTGAGAACATGGTGCCTCTTCAAGCTACCAGTTCCCTGGCCGCGTAGCTTCTTCTGTGAGAATCTGCCTAGTAAGATCACTCCCGGGGCCCGCTGCTGGGGGTATGACATGAGAATCTACAGCGCACCAAAGTTGTTTTAAATATCTCCATGTGGTGTGTTATTTCAAACTTTCATCTAAGTCCCATTTTATGAATAATTTTGTTTATTTAGTTTCTTGACAATGTGAGTCTTGCATTGATCCTCTGGTAGAATTACAGGGTAGAATAGGTTCTATGTAGTCTATGAATGTTAAAGATGAATCGACATGCAAATGCCATCTGGGTTAGGGCATCATTTTTTATGTCTTTCACGTAGCCTCCTAGTTATGAACATGGGTCGGTCTGTCGGGGAAAAACAAAACAAAATAAAACATTTATCTGAAAAATGTTCTTGATTCTCAGGTATTGTAATTCTTATTACAAGTTCTCGCGTCCTTTGGACTTGTGGCAGAGTCTGATTTTAAGATTAACATTTTATATGACGAGGCGGTATGTTTTAGGTTCGAGTCGGCGCAGTTGGAATGAAAACTATTTTTTATTTTTGGGTGGATGGAGGGGTGGATGGGTGTCCGACAATAAAATTAGAAGGGTCCGTCGGGCGATGAGAAACAAAAAGTAAAAATACTGCCCTTACTGTTTGTCACCTTGGCACAGGGGCGGTTGGGTAGCCTTGTGTGAAGCCAATTTATGGTGTGATTTTGCTTCAATGTTGCTGAAAGCGGCGTGAAACCATACTCACCCACTCATTGAATGCACAGTGTAAAACTCACTTATCTTTACCAAACGGCCTTACATGGGTTGTTGCAAATGTTATTAACGACTGCTGGAGTACCTGTCGGTGTTTGTGATATACCGAAGATGCTTTGTTAGTAGTTACGTCGTAAAACAGTATTTATTCACACGTTGTCAAAATGGGTATTCATCTGTTTTCGAATGTCAAATATTTCACCTGAAACTTTCTTCTAGACTGCCTTTTCGTCATGTCATAAACGAAATGTTTACCCATGGGCATGGTCTGCAAAAAGAGTATATGACCAATTGCAAGAATGACCTATTTTAAGAATACAAGCATCTTGAAGTAGATGGCCCTATTGTAAGAATGCATTACCCTATTGTAAGAATGAGTATTGGATTTGACCTATTGGAGTATATGACCTATTGTAAGAATATTACCTAGTTTATGTAATGTTCAGACTTATAATGTAAGAATATGGTCTTTTCAAGTATACGACATATTGGATTTTGATATTTTGAAGTATAATTACCGATTGGAACATATGACCAATTTTGTAAGAATATGACCTATTGTATGTATATGCCCTGTAGGAGTATATGATCTACTGGAATTTGCGCCTGACAAATCGCACACTGTCAGGTTTCACAACTGGTTTTAATAAATTGCTTTTGTTTAAATATTATGTTTGTTCACTTTCATGTAAACAAGTGATGTTGTGCAGTATCAGTTGATGTCGGAGAATATGTTCCTGTGACAAACCACCTTAATAGCTTTCCATTAATGGTGTGACGTCATCCATTCTGCCCCGTAATAAGATCCTTTGCCGACCAGCACCGCTACAGCGCTCATTTTTGCTTTTATTCAAATGTGTAGGATAGCCTAGTGGTTAAAGCGTTAGCTCGTCACGTGGAAGCGCCGGGTTCGATTCCCCACATGGGTACAGTGTGTGAAGCCAATTTCTGGTGTCCCCCGCCGTGACATTGCTAAGTGCAATGTAAAACAAAAATTACTCTCATCCAAATGGTGGTTCAGATAAGGGCCACAATCTTCAAAACCGACGACAAGTGGACAGGGGACAGGTTGCAGCCCTGATAGCAATTGGTCGATAGTTTAAACCTCGATCGTGTTCTTACCGAAAGCCATTGAAGTATAGTACTTGTTGTTACCCTGGCTGGCACTATGGCAGGGATAAAAACAAGGACTGGTTGGCTCTGAGTTGGCATAGGACTTCTTGTTACCCTGGCTGGCACTGTATGGCAGGGATAAAACAAGGACTGGTTGGCCCTGAGTTGGCATAGTACTTGCTGTTACCCTGGCTGGCACTGTATGGCAGGGATAAAACAAGGACTGGTTGGCTCTGAGTTGGTATAGTACTTGCTGTTACCCTGGCTGGCACTGTATGGCAGGGATAAAACAAGGACTGGTTGGCTCTGACTTGGTATAGTACTTGCTGTTATCCTGGCTGGCACTGTATGGCAGGGATAAAACAAGGATTGGTCGGCTCTGAGTTGGTATAGGACTTGTTCTTGCCTGGCGAACGGTATGGAGGGAGTAAAAGAAACGTTGGTTGGTTCCGACATTTTTCGCGGAAGAAGCAGTCATTACCCGGAAGGCAAGCTCATACTATAGATCACCAGTCACCAGCTATTTTGGTAGAGTGAGTGAGTATTTGTTTTACGCCGCTTTTAGACATATTCCAGCAATGTCATGGCGGGGACACTAGAATGGGGCTTCAGACCTTGTACTCATATGGATAATCGAATCCGGATCTTCGGTGTGACGAGCGACCGCTTTAACCACTAGGCTACCCTACCGCTCCATTTTGGTAGAGATTACAAGAGACGGTATCAGTCAAATATCCATCAACCACACTCACCAAATCTGGTCACATTTGATGTTCCGTACAACAAAATAAAGCTAAAAATGTGTTAAGTTCACTTTTAATTATGTCATATTTGTATTTAACAAAAAAAACTTTCGACAGTGCAACATCAAAATTGATCAGCAACCGGGAAAAAGCTATTACGACCATACCAACCCACACACAACACACGGTTCCCAATTGCGTAGATCGATGCTCATGCTGTTGATCACTGGATTGTCTGGTCCAGACTCGATTATTTACCGACCGCCGCCATATAGCTTGAATATTGCTGAGTAAGGCGTAAAACTAAACTCACTCACTCACTCACAACACAAAACCTGAGTCAATATACGAGGAGTTTATTACACATTGCAGTCACTGAACGATATGGTATATAAACAGGCAATAACAGTGTGGTTTACAATTAATTATTAGGAAAGAGTTCCTTCCGCTCCCCACTTCTCTCTTCCCAAGCGTGGTTGGATCCTATACATTGTAATTAATTTTGGGGCGTTTTGTTCTTTTTGTGAGTTCTGTAGTAATTGTGTTAGGTTTTGTTAATATTTTTAGTATAAATTAATTTATAAATATTATTTGGGATGGGGGAACGGGAGGAACTCTTACCGATTATTACAGCATGTTCACAATGAAGTCAGCTATCAAAGAACATAAACATTATAATTATGTAGATTCGTTACTCATACTACATTAATCACGATACACATTCAAAAGTATACAACGTAATGTAATTGTTCAATACTCTACACACCAACCCAGTGGGCGTTCATACATTCTGTAACAGTCACAAAACAGCATAGTATTCACAACGTAATACAATAGTTAAAATATCCGACACACTCTATACATTCTATAATAGTCACAAAACAATGTAGTGTCGATCAGTATTAAATAAACAATCCTAAACAGTAATACAGAATGTATGAGACATATAATAAGGGATGCCGAAGGTAGTGCCAAGGATGGTAACATATAGTTAAGGTATTTACTATAGATTAAAGTTAACATAGAATAGCAATGGTAACGATTTGTCAAAGTAGAAGACAGTAAAGTTTCTTACTTGAGTGAAATTACTAGACAGCCACCCCATGATTTGTGACTGTTGTCCGTGTTATATACCTATTCTAGCTATCGCAGATAATCGCGTTTACAGATGAAACTTAGGATAACGATGTGATTGTGAAGAGGATACTATGTCATTTACATGTAGTTGGACCGAAGCATCGATGGCCAGTCGCGAGTATGCCACGAAGGTATACGCGGCACGAACTACAAACATTCCAAAAGACAGATAAATGCATTGCACCTTGGTTCTATTAGCTTTAGAGTTACTGATCCCGGATTATGTCCGATGCTCGTTATCAATGTGACCCTTGGCAGGTTTAAGATTGAGGAACGTGGTCAGTTAGTCTGTATTATTCCCAGTTTTCAACACTATAAGTTGCATGCTTCTCTCGAGGGTAATACGGTCTGATGTACGCCTCGTTTGTAGCAGTGTCACCCGAGGCTGTAGGCGAGGGGTGACACTGCTACAAAATGCGTACATCAGACCGTATTACCAGAGGGAGAAGCATACAACGTATTTATCTTACCGCCATGTTAAATGTACAAAATGTCATTTCATTTTGTTTTAAAGAAAGCTACCGACTATACGACATGTAAACAAAATGGCGTCTGCCTCTCGACTGGATTTTTTAAATCAGTGAAACATATTTTGAAAAGCTTAACACTGCCATAATAATGGTTAATTATGTTTAAGTTGATTGTGCAAACGACTTAATGTATGAAATAGTTTAAAATAAATCTGTACATAGTGATCTCAAAACAGCTAATCGAACGGTTTTCGAACTCCGGACACTACATGCGTCATATTATGACGTCATACGATTGTTAGCGATACAGCTTCTCGGCGGAGAGTTTGGCGGTTACCTTGGCAGCGGGTAATATTTTTTCCAGTTGTCACCCTCTTGAGAGGGTGACACGGAAACGTGTTAAAGGGTCAGTGACCAATGAAATTAAAGTATTTCACATGAAGGTAAGATAAATACCGTTATAAGGTATTGGTAAAACTTTGTCCAGTCTGAAAATAACCCTAAATATACATGCAGCAAAGCACGTAAGCATGAAAGCTGATGTCACGTATCGAGCGTGGCAAGTGCACTTTGTGCTAGGGCTGTGCAATAATACCGGTAAAGCGGTATATACCGGTACAGTATCTCGCGATACGATAACTGCGATATGGTTCAGATTCTGCAATATATTGAGTCATCCAGAGTTAGCTCCCTTTGAACTATCTACCCTTGATTTCCATAACAAAAAGTGCTCTAAAAGTGCCAAATATATTTTATTTCTGGTGGTTAATGTAACGTTTTACTAGTGGAAGTGTCATTATAAGTGACTCTAAAAAAGTGCCAAATATTATACCAAATGTTTTACGTTTTGTGAGTTTGAATAGTTTCATTTGGAGCAATTAAGTCGCATCCAATGGACGATTTCTTATTTGGAGCCTCTGGCTCTGAGTGACCATTTCACAATTCACAGTATTTCGTTAGTTTTGTTTGTGTAATGACATTCCAGTCAAGGATCTTACTTATTGGATTTTAAGCTCAAGTAGTTCAACTAAATTATGGTTTTGTTTTCATTTTGCAGTAGTTCATGTTAACACACGTTAATATTGGAGTTGAATCTGAACGAATCACTGACATACAGTAAAAATAATCACATACTGAATTGAAGTGCATTCTGTTGAAGCAAAGAAC